AAGAAAACCAAAGATGCATGGAAAGAATTAGTCCAAGGGACTGGCAGACCACGTGATCCTAAACCTATATAACCATGAGACCAGAAGAACTAGATGGTGCCCGGCTACCACTACCAACCACTCAGAGGGAGATCAGTGCAAGAGATCCTGGATAGAGTGGGAGAACAATGTGGAACAAAAAAAAAAAAGGACTAGATTTGCTGGTCTGATAGAGCCTGGTGAGACCCCTGAGACTATGGCCCCTAGTTTACCCTTCAGGTCTGGAACTGAACTCACTCCTGTGGCTTCTAGCCAAACAATAGACAGGCATATGGAATGAACATTTATATCAGGTAGATAAACTCCTTGGAGTGATCTATCATGGCAGAACAGAAGGGCAGTGTTTGCACAGTAACACAGCTCAGGGGGCAGGAGTTTATGGGAGGGAAGGACACAGGGAAGAGGTAACTATGGGGAGGAAGTGGGAAGAGAGCTGTTACACTGTGGGGAATTGCAGTCAATGTCATAAAACAAAATGTGTATGAACTGCTGTATGGGAAATGAATTTGCTCTGTAAACTTTTACCCAAATCACGATAAAAACTAAAAACAAAAAAGCTTTTTTTTTACTTAATTGTAGCCAATACAAATAACTTGGTACATGAAATACTGTTGTTGTTAGGTGTTGTTGAGTCAGCTCCAACTCACAGCAACCCTACGTACAACAGAACGGAACACTGCCCGGTCCTACACCAACCTCACAATACTTGGTATACCTGAGCCCATCATTGAAGCCACTGTGTCAATCCATCTCGTTGAGGGCCTTCCCCTTTTTCATTCACCCTCCACTTTACTAAGCATGATAGCCTTCTTCAGGGAATGTTCCCTTCTGACAACATGATCAAAGTAGGTGAGATAAAGCCTGGCCATTTTTGCTTCCAAGGAGCATTTCGGTTGCACTTCTTCCAGGACAGATCTGTTTGTTCTTTTGGCAGTCCATGGTACTTTCTGTATTCTTCGACAACACCACAACTCAAAGGCATCAATTCTTCTTCAGTCTTCCTTATTCATTGTCCAGCTTTCACATCCATATGAGCGACTGAAAATACCATAGCTTGGGTTAGGTGCACCTTAAGTTTTCAAAGAGATATCTTTGCTCTTAACACTTTAAAGAGGTCTTTTGCAACATATATACCCAGTGCAATACATCATCTGATTTCTTGACTGCTGCTTCCATGGCTGTTGATTGTGGATCCAAGTAATATGAGATCTTTCATAACTTCAATCTTTTTCTCCATTTATCATGATGCTGATTATTGGTCCAGTTGTGAGGATTGTTGTTTTCTTTATATCCAGACAAATACACACACCAGTTTTGTGTAAAAAGACAGTAACATTTAAACTGCTGGTTTTAGCATAGTATTTAAACTGTTAATGAGTATAGAAATAAATGATCTTTACTAAAAAACAAAATTTAAAATAGAAAACCCTGTGGATCAGTACAGTCCCATCTATAATCAATCATGGGAATGACACTGGATCAGGCAGTGTTTCATATCGTTGTCTAAGTGATCGTCATAAGTTGGGGCAGCTAACAACAACAAACAGACTGTACTAGAACATACACCAGTTTCTAAAGGGTTTGTCTTCTGCTGAGAAGGGAGCGTGTGTCCACAGAAATAAGGACTACAGACTATGGACTATAGATTGGAGATTGGTCTTCAACTTTTAATTTAATTGCTCATTTCCCAACAGCAATACAAACAATCCTTGACTTATGAATGGGCATTTCTAGAGAAACCATAGTGGGTATATATAAACATCACCAGTGATTTCATTTTGGTGAATGAAACATTTAATGGCTGACCTTTACATTAACCAGACAAGGTATGTTAATAATAAATTATTAGATCTTGATGCAAGCCATTGTCTTTTCAATTGTCTCAAATTAATGAAAAAGTTGGAGATTACCATGGAGCCGAGAAATGGGCTAGAGAAACTGAAGCAAGGATTTTTCCCCAGAGATATCCTTCATTACAGCTGGTGCCCTAAATTCAGACTTCTAATCTCCTAACTGTGAGAAAACAAATTTCTGTTCTTTAATAAAGCTCCCCACAAATACATAAATAACAAACTAATTAATTAATTAAACGTCTGGGAGAAAACAATGTTACTTTGTTTTAGATGACTGGACCCACCAAAAACAAGCAAACTGACCAAAAATAAAAAATAAGAAACAAATGAACAATCAAAATTACTTGTTCAGATATGGACACATCAAAGAAAAAATGACCAAAAAATGTTTTTTCTTTTAATTTCAAGAATAGCCAAAATTTCTAGTATTTTCTATATGGTAAAGTGTACAGAAATACTATTTTATTTAGTGTTTAAATAAATTGGACCCTATAATGTTGTGAGTATACAATTTAAGCAATCTCTGGCTTTATATTACTTTAGTACAAAGGGATATATATATATATATTTTAACCTTCAATTCTTTTTAAAATTAACTGTAATCCAAATTAAATCATTTAAAAATACATTACAAGGAAAGTACCTAGGTATTTAAGAAGCTTAAGAATAAGTTGGAAAAAAAATATATTTTTTAGAGGATATAAATGTCACTAGAACCCAAATGTGAAAAATTAGTGGAAAACATTTATTCAATCAACTAATGAGTCACCTACATGATATGCCAGACTATATACTAGATCCTGGGAATACAAAGTAACAAAAAGTAAAAATTAATATAAAATGTAAGAGTTCTAAAAAAGAGATAAGGTATTTGGTATACATGGTTTCTGGTATTTCTAACAGTTTACAAATCGAGAATCATGTAATATCTTTACAATCACCTCACATGTGTACATATTTCTATCATGACTGTCAGTAGCTAAAGGAATGCAAGATTAAAAATCTTGTTTGACTTACATGGCATACACGGAATTTGTTTTTTAAGGCCTACAACTGGTATGGAAGGGGTTTTATGTTCCTGTATGTAATGAATGTCTCTAATTTGATATTTCATTGCATAAAACTGGGATTTGTGGATAACAGGATGAAAGATATAGTCTACCCCTTCCATGGACAAGGCTCACTGTCTACCATGCAATATACGAAAAAGAGTGTGGGAAGAAGAAACTATGGGTTGTATGATAAATTGCACAGGACAATGGACTAAGTGTTATGGGAACCACAAATCACCAGAACAGGTAGGTAAGGAGTATATATTTCATAGAAAAGTTGGTATAACTCACTGCCATGATTCTGTTAACCTATCTGATTTATTCAGATGCTTTATTTAAAAAATGTCTGCAAATTCACCTGGCCCAACTGACACTATTCACATTATTCAATTGACATTACCCTTCTATGAAATCTTTCTTGTTGTTTTGATACCACCATTACCTCCTAAAAACACAATAGCTCGGATTCAAAACATTTTAATCTTTTTTTTCATTTATATTTAAATTTATAATTTTATGCAATTTATTAGTTTTCATAACACTATAAAGATTAGGGTTACATAGCAGATAATAAAAAAATAATTGGCTCAAAAATTCATTTTTGTATGTAAATTAGTTTTCTTTTCCTGGAAATTTAAAACATTTGAAATAAAATTGGTCAAATAATGAAATTCTCACTCAAGAATGAGAAGTTGTTCAGTTCTGTAGTTCAAACTCTGCTTTTAACTTCTTTCTCCCTACTCTGAGCGGGAAATAGCAAGAGCATTCAGACTGAATGTAACATATCAGTAAGGCACATATTTTAGAGGTGTACTTATACTTTTCCCTGTTTAAGAAAAAGTTTTTATTTAGCTAGACTTTTGACACCATAGTAAAAGTAAATACAGTAATAAATAATCTATTATGTCAACAAAATTTAGCATGACAATTCAGTCTTGTATATCTTATACTATTCACACTTTCTACAGAAATAAATATACCTACATTAACAAATACATGCTAAAAAAAACTCATGGAGTAATCAGTGAAGTGCATAAGAATTAATAAACTTCAAATAATACAATTACGTATTCTGCCCTTCAACCTAACATCTAATAACTATACTTGTGTGCACTAGAGATGCTCACTGAAGTTTGCTGAATATGACTTGTATCAGGCATTGCTAAATATTTTATATTTAAGCCTGACAAGTATTGTTGTTGTTGTTATTTGCCATCAAGTCGGACCCGACTCATAGTGACTCCTCCTTGGGTTTCCGAGGCAGTATCACTACGGAAGTAGATTGTCCAGTCTTCCTTCTGAGGAGTGGCTGGTGGGTTTGAACTGCCAGTCTTCTGGTTAGCAGTCACGTGGCTTAGGTACTACATTACCAGAGTTAATCCCTATTTTAAAGAGGCTGAGAGATATGAGGAAGTGGCAAGGCTGAGATTCATACTAAAGTTATCAGACTCTAAAGCTCTTAACTACTCAAACAAGGAAAAGTCTAACTATTACAGGTAAAGGCTGGGATTTAGAAATGGCTTTGCTGTAAGAATCTTAAAATAAACATATTCAAATTCTATCTATTTTAATATTTTAATCATGCATATATTGAAATTTTAGGAAATATCTCATCTTAAAAAAGCACTGACTTCAATACCACTGAATTCTTAGTAAATTTTAAAGTATTTATCTAGATGTTGTAATGAAAAGATTTTGTATCGTGTTTGTATCATATTAGACTTTTAGCTTCTCGAGGAAAAAAAGAAATCCAAATCTTTTAAAATAAGTTATTTTCACCATAACAAAAGTGATTTCAGAATAAAACAAAGTCAAAGCTCTCAACTCAGAAAAGGTAAAAAGCTGTAACTAAAACAAGACAAAGGTTTTATTGAAATGATTCCAAAATCAGTAGTGTAAGACTATGTTCTTTAATATTATTATTTTTTTTATTTTAGAATAATCTATGTAAGTGGGAATAAACTGAAGCTTTCACAAAGATATAAACTGAGTATGGACTTCTATTATTTGTTTGCCTGATGCCATACTAAAAAAAATAAGTGTGCTATAAGCATACCTTGGCAAAAAATACGGTGAGGTGAGTTTCACTGCCAACAATCCAAATAGGGTATTTTGGAGATTTCAAGTAAGAACCAACCTAGAATAAATGCAGCAAAATAAAACAAATGAGAAATGTATACTTCCTGTTAAAAATTTGCCACAAATATTTGAAACATAACTAAAGATTCCAATTAATATTTACATGGAATACTATACGATGGACAAGCACAAAGACTCGGATATTTCATTCTCTTTCTCTCTCCTACAGTGCCTTATTCATAGAAGTCAAATGCTGAATAAAAACAGGATGTTAAAAAGACTGTCAATATTAAGCTTATATTGCATCTTTACATCAACACACCAATAATACGTATTTAACATGGCTAGAAATAAGTAGAGTAGGTTAATCCTAAGAACCACTCTCAGGTATTAATGTTCCTAAATAGAATGAACACTTCTAGAATTTCACCATGGAACCTCAATCCTAAAAACTTTAAACTTAATGAAAGGAAATAATTATAAAACAAATGAGTAAATTTATGAAAAAATAAATACAGAGGATAAGCCTTAAGAATATTCCTATCCTCAAGGCATCTAGAGAAATAATCTTTCTTAAGAAAAATATATGATTTAAAACATTTAAGAGTACAGAAGAATCCTGTCACATAACCCTTTATGGTAGAAGATAAAGTTGAAGACTGGGCAATCTACTTTCGTAGTGATACTGCCTTGGAAACCCAAGGAGGGGTCGCTATGAGTCTGGTCCGACTCAACGGCACACAACAACAACAACAACAACAACAACAACAACAACATTTAAAATATAGAGAAAGCTATATTTACAGCCTGCCTTCTTGGATATATACTTAATTTATAAACATTATAGTGTTTTAGAGAGCAGTATTTTATGTGCGTGACAGAAGAAGAAAGTTCAATACTCAACAAACTAAACAGTCCTTGTTCTTGTTACCTAGTGTCACTCTGACAAGAATACACCACCAATGGGATGGCTTGAACAAACAGGGGTTTATTCTCTTACAATTCGGGAGACTAGAAGTCTGAGTTCAAAGTGCCAGGCTCTAGGGGCTGTGTGAAAGCCACTCAACCTTGGGATTCAGCTCTGCCTCTTACTCCCGGCCCACTGAAGCTAGAGGCATCTCTTCGCTCAGGCAACTAGCTACTGGCTGCTGAGGCTAATAAGCCCAATGTGGACAAATAAAATGGCACAGTCCTGATGTTACCAAACCGCAGGGCAGGCCATTAATTCCAGTCCATCGAAAGTCCCAAGGTTGGCAGAGCATGGCAGGCTGTTGAACAACGACATGGCTACATTCAGGGTTCAAGTGTGCCATAAGCTAGAGACCATTCCCCAAAGCTTCTCTTATATACAGGAAGCAGACTATGTTCCTAAGGCAGTGACTCAGCTGCTCACAGTAGATTCTACCATGGAGTTGATTTACCAGTCTCATGATGGGGAATACTACATCCAGCTGCCCAGCCACTTAACCAGGCCCAGCCAAGTTGACACACAATGTTAACTACCACAGTCCTGTAAAATTCAATCAAGTTCACACCAATCAATTTCACACTTTTATTAGGACAGAACCTTTAAATTAAAAACAATTAACCTTATTAATCAAGTTTGCTGATTTTCTCTATTTCATACAAACTGCTTAAAATTGGGAAATTCCTAGTCCTTATTTGAGCAGACAGGGCCAATTATTCTTCCCTAATCTGCCAGAAGCCCTTTTATAATGTCCCTGCTTCAACCCCCACTGTGACCCAGTGATATTTATTCTTAACACTAGGAAGGAAGTGGGAAAAAGGTATTCTTATTATATTTATAGGTAGAAAAACTAGCATCTTTGTTCTATCATGGGAAGGATGAGTTGGATGTGCTAACATGGTGATCTTGAACTAATGCAGTTTGGGGACAGCAGAGAATAAAAGTAAAGAGGGAGAGGTCTAGCAGAGTTTTAAAGTAGAAGGGGATTTCAGAGGTAAGCAGAGCAAATCCTTTAGTTTCTATATAAGAAAACTGAGAAACAGACAGGATCAATGCTTTTTGTAAATTCAAGCAGCTAATTCAGTATACAGCTGAAATTAGAATTCAGATTTTCTGACTTTTAGTCTGGTGGCTTTCCATTACATCATGCTGCCTCTTGAGGTGAAGAGTTTAGATACTGTTTCATTTCTGTTTTAGAAAAAGCATATGTTTGCACGTGCGTGCGCATGTGTGTGAGTGTGATTGCATCTGCATGATATGGTCTCATTTATATGTATATATACTTAAATTAGGTAGAAGTAAAAAAAAAAAGGATAAGTTTACATAAAGTAGGATCAAAGAGTACATGAATGTTAAGTTTATAAAGTGTTTTATAATAATAAAATTTACTTAATTAAATGGGAGTGAACAAGTGGTGCAGCTGCTCTGGAAAATCATTTGTCAGTTCCTCCAAAAGTTAAACAAAGAATTACCATATGACCCAGCAATTCCACTCCTAGGTATATACCCAAGAGAAATGACAACATATGTTCACAAAAAAGCATATACATGAATGTTCACAGTAGTATTACTCCTAACGGTAAAAAAGTGAAACAGCCCAAATGTGTTTATCAGCTGATGAAAGGGTAAACAAAATTGATATGTCCACGTAATAGAATATTATTTGGCCTTAAAGAGGAATGAAGCATTGACACAAGTTATAACATGTATGAACTTTAAAAACCTTATGTTGAGTGAAAATGCCAGACAAGGCCACTTATTGTATAATTCCTTTTATATGAAATGTCCAGAACAGGCAAATCCACAGAGATGGGAAGTTGATTAATAATTGCCAGGGGCTGAGGGGAGGAGAAAGTGATTGCTAATGAGTTTAGGACTTCTTTTTACTGTAATTAAACTACTCTGGAATTAGATAGAGGTGATGCTTGCATAACTTTGTGAATATACTGAGGAAAAAAAAGCATTGAATTGCATACTTTAAAAAGGTGAGTTTTATGGCATATTAATTAAATATCAATTTAAAAAAGCACACAGTCAAAAGTATATAGAAACAACTTTTTTGTTAGAGAGTGCATGTGTGTAAAGAGAGAAAGAGACAGAAGAAGAGAGGGGACAAAAGGAGAGAGGAGAGGAGAGGAGAGCAAGGAGAGGGGAAGGATATTGTTTCATTTGTATTAACTAACATACATGGTTCAAACTGATATAAAATGTTAATTTCATTTCTACAGGGCAATTTACTATATTATCAAATTATGGGAAAAAGAATAAGGAAATGTTCAGATTTACAAAATCAACACAAACAAAATTATATATGTAATTATAACACCATTTTTCTATGTATCTGGTAAAAAGTAAATGTCCAAAGGTTTTGAGAAGGATTATCTACAGTTATATAGAGATGAACACCACAGTTACTGTTAGGACACTAGAGCAATATGTAACCAAGAAAATCTTACCATTGTGGTGAAATGTCCAGTCATGTATTCAACAAATACTATACAAAATACCTTATATGTATTCAATATTCCAATATTCAGTGCTTTCAATGGGAAAGCATCTTTGAGGTATCATCTGAAGTGGACAGTGAGCCACCCAATTTAAAGAGCTGGAGTAAACTAGGCAGAGGTGATAAGCAAACAAAAAAGCCCATTAGGCAGGAAAGGGCTTGGAATGTTTGAGAAACTGACAGGCAACTAGGGTGGCTAGAGCACAGCAAGGGAGAGTGCAATGAAACTGGAGAGCCAAACAGGATCCAGATCATCAGGGCCTTGCAAGCTACAAGGTAAAGATTCTACCTGAAGCAAGTTAAGCAACATAATCTCATTTACCCTTTAAAAAGATCAGTCTGGGTGAGGAGGCCAGAGAGGAATAGGCAAGGACACAAAGAGATCAGATAGGAAGCTATTGTAGTCTCACATGCAAGAGATGATGGTGGTTCACACCAAAGCACTACTAGAGGAAATGGATGCACTGTAAAATTATTTTGGAAGTAAGACTAAAAGAATTTGAGAGTGAAAGAAAAGGGAAGAATCAAGAATGATTTCAAGTTTTTGGCAAAAGCAAGTTAGGTGGATGGATGAGGGTAGCATTTACTGATGAGGAAGACTCAGGGAAGAAGTTGCTGCAGTTAGGAAGAGAAATCAAGCTTATTCTTTTGCAGATGTTAAGATCTAAGATGATATTTAAATATCCAGATATAACTATTAAGGAAGAGGTCAAACACATCACTCTGGAATTCATAGAAGATTTAGAGTTAGAAGAAATAATTATACAAGTGATA